GTCGTGTAGAAAGTCGAACGCTCTTTGACAGGGGAGGGAGAGATGGGGTAAAACTCGCTTCGCGTGCAAAGTCGTAAGATATATTTTAAAGCAGAAAATTTCTGTTTTATATAACAGGAAAGAGACATCACTTTTCGATCTTTTTTGTTTATAACTTTTTAACGAATAACGACCGACGAGTTAACTCACGGTTAACTTTTAACCGAGATTCAACTTATTCGTTGCCTCTTTTCAATTCTAGAATTGTAAAGAGATGAGTAACAGATTAAACCTCGCTTAAGAGTTAACCGTGAGTTGTGACATAAGCATGACCGCTCATTAAGCGCTCAGTGAGCTCTTGTATCTGATTGGTCTATATTTTTAGTTCTAATGGAATACGCCAATCAGATACAAGAGCTCACTGAGCGCTCTGCGCTTCTGGATGCACCTATTGTGTCTTAATGAGAAAAATTTATTCAGTTACCATGAAAAACGAGTAGATTTAACGGTGACATATACATATAATCCAGTCGACGAGATCGGCGATTATTCGATAGACAAGAAATTTTGGTTTACTTACCTGGAAAAAAGTATTCAATCAACAAAGAATTTTGATACATTGAATAGAAATGAATTAATTCTTCTCACTCGGTAATCCTTACAAGAATCCTGATTCGTTCGCTTTCGAACAGACGAATTGGTTTTCATAATTAACTTAAAAGATAAAACTATAAATGAATATAAAATACAGATAATATCTTCCTATTTGTAGAAACCATACTGCACCTTCTTTAAAAAGTAATGAAAGATAATAGCTTTGATAAAAACAAATAATTTTACATCGTAGGATCTAAATTATACCGTAATTCTAAGCGGACAAATTTGCAGAGTTGGTAAAAATCATGTTTCAAACATGTTTTCAATTGTTTCAAACAAGCTTTATAGATGTTTTAATATATTTCAAAAACATTTTTTTTATAGATAACTTTTTAAATAATGAATGAATTATTTCAAAAGTGTTTTAAAAAGACACAATGATTTTTTCGTACATAAAAACATTACTTATTTTGCAAACCCTAAGATACTGTAACATGAGCACACGCTGTACGATGATGCGGGGGTGCGATCAGAATATCGCATGTCCACCGTATCGTTTTTGTTAAAATCGTACCTAATATTAGCCGAATAATTAGTTATTCGGCACATCTCTGCGGATATATAATATTCGGTTATGTGCCGAATATATTATATTCGTTGCATTTTTATTCTATAATACTATTTTATAAAACTATGCATAAAATAATATATTAAATATTTTTACGGCTTCTCTCTCTGTATGTAATTTTAGATATGTTTTCTATAGATTGTTCTTTTATGTTAGATTTATTTAAAAATTGATGTACGACAAGTGAGTAAAAAATTAAAATTGTATTACAATATATATTAAATATACTTTGTGTATATTGCAAAAAGAGTCTATAGCTACAAAATATTGAGTGAAAGAATTTCAACCGAATATTTAGGTAATATAACTACCCTGGTAGAAATTTCTTGTCATTGCCACGATACTGGCCAGCGCCACGATACTTTGTCACTGCTTTGCAACGCCATAACCTTTTAAATCTAAACTGCAACAAGGATGGGATAGACTGGGGAAGGAAAACACTAGAACACAAACACAAATAGCAGTCAACATGGCCACATTTACGCTCAAAAATAAAATATGCAACACCCAGATCGCAGCGAGAAACACATCCGTCACGGTCGAACGATCTCTCGAGACTAAGGACAATCGCTTTGTCATTATCATTTCCTAACTAAGATAATAAGTACCAGCGTATTATTTCATTTCCACGTAATTTCTTCAAATATTAATAATATTAAACTGTCAGCAGAGGCATGAAATTAAGAATGGTTACAGTAGGAGTAACATATAAGTAACATTGGCAATAACTCAATCACAAGCGTGCGATTAGCTCAGCGTAAATGTATTAGGCTACCATTCTAGGGATCGTTCAAATCTTGCCGGCGATGCGATGCGTTTTTTAGTAATTAATTGTAGTTAGAATATAGGCATGCGAATAAGTAAATAATAAATTGAACTGAAAAAATAGGAGTAAAATATAATAGTAATAAAAAAATTATTTTTTCTTTAGGGTATAACTGTAATTTTTTTATTACATAAAAAACTGTTTTCATTTTAGAAAATTTTGTTGTTGTACATAAACAATATATTTCTTTCATTTAAAAAGAGTTGCAAAACTATTTTTTAAATTCTAATAGAAAGAAACAACAAAAAACTTCTTCAAGTAAAAAAAATCGAGTCGATGTCGATCCTATTATTATTTCTTAATTCTTAATGTGCCATGAATACACCAGGCTAGTCGCCTGGCGGCGCCTAGTCAGTCCGTTGGTAACGGCACATCAGTCGCTCGCCAGAGCCATTAAACAAAACGTGACGTTGCTGGCGTAGCGATTGCAAATTTGCCATGCTAGTTCTTGATATGGCAGCATGGCATCCATACAAGAGCCATACTAGCTCCTTATCTAAATTTCTACTAGGGTAACAATAATGATAATTCTAATTTTTTAAGTACTTAATATAAGTATTACTAAACGGTCATATTAAATATTTGTAAAATTATGCTTAATTGTACTATTTGGTTGAAATTATTTTATCCGACATTTGGTAACTAACCACTCTTCTTTCAGTGTGTTCTCTTCAACGGAAATACAAAAAACATAAGAATTATGATGTCAAAATAGGCAAAAATAGTAAATTACAATAAAAAAACAGTACATTAAATAATTACAGTCACATAAGTATTATCAAATAATTAATAAGTTGAAATTAGGAATCTTTGTTTAATTTGTGTAAGTCAAAGTTCTTAATAAAGGCATATTTAGAGGAAAATCTTTGTTACCTTCAACTTTGTAATAGCGATTTCGACTGGTAACACTGATGTGCAATAGTGCTTATTAAAACCGTTTTACACTGTAAAATGTTGACCTTTTGAATTTTTCTATTATTTCGTAGTACATCTTTCGCGACATTCGGAAATGACTTCGAAACTCTAAATAAACATTTTCTGTGCAATAAATTACATTATTATAGTTGATCTAACCTGCAAAACTGAACTGTTTTTATTGAACATTACGTATGTTGATTTTTAGCTACGCTAATAATAATGCCGGTCGGCGGGGACGCTAGAGGAAGGCGAAATGAGCAACAATTGTTTTAGATAAACATGGTTATATTTTAAAACGTTGAAACGATAGAACAAGAATTTATAAAGATAAAAAACCGCTTTGTCATAATAGCATCCGTGGTGCTTCCGCCATTTTGTTCTCCGGCTATATCTCCAATAAGGAACTTCTCAAGTCAAATAGATAAAGGAATGGGCCACTGCCTAAGCCGCGTCTCAGGCCCCGTCCAGAAATGAGCGTGCGTAATGCACCGTCTGAGTCGCTCGTCAGACGTCGTGAAAATGATATTCGCTAAGTACCACCTGAGACGAATCATCAGGTTTGGTGGCCAAAGGCCTGAAGTGACGGTTGCATTCGTCGCCTTGACGTTTTACAAACCGTATTGTACTAGAAGACCGCGTACTTCCGTACTTACTGTTGTCCACTGATCTTACGATCCTTCATCAATATTATTGACGTCAGCAAAGTTTGTTCACGCCGATCTTGACACTTTCACTTTCCTCAAAAGTCGTTAGCAAGAAAAAGTTGCGATCTTACGCACGAAAACGCCGCCACCACCCATCAAAACGAAGCTAGCCACCAAACGCGCCGGGCGGGGGGCATTGACGCTCTGAACATGCCCTCTCGCATGGTGCCCCTTTCAACTAGCGCAAGCATTCCTCAATTCTCAGTCAATTATTGAACAACGTACGTTTTTCGCATAACCTCTTCAATGTAATTTTGAACTTTTAACATTTGTTCTTTTTTTACGTTCTATCAAGTATATTAATTCATCATCGCACTTGATGACGATGATGTTAACAATTTCATGAGCACATATAAATCATTCATCATAACGTGAATAAAGCTGGTTTTACATTAGTCGCATCGCAATGTCGCAAGCGTGTCGCAAGCGTTATGATCCAATCAGAGTCGAGCTAGCTTGATGTTGATTGGACCGCAAACTTGCAACGCTGCGATGCGACTAATGTAGAATCAGCTTAAGGTCGCAAGCAAATCGACCAATCACAATCAAAATTAAGATCTCGCGTTTTTAAACGCTCGATTGTGATTGGCCGATTTGTTTACGATCTTACGATTACGACTAAAATTTTTGTACGTATAATGGTCTTAAGACCGGATTGTGGATTTCGTCCTAGAAAAGTGTAGATTGGCCCGCTATCTTAAACAAACCTTGCGTATTTTTTTGGGTATGTTTGTTACGTTGGTTGGAAAATGTAAACATACGATTGATATCCAATAAAAAAATCTCAAGAATTAAAATCATAAGAAATAGCTAGCTAGCTCTGTATTATCTTCATAGAAATATCCAGAAAAATAGCTAATAGCAAATTTAAATTTAAAACCATGATGGCGGCAGTGTTGCCAACTTAGCTATTTTCTGGCTAGATCTAGCTATTTTTTCTTCGATCTAACTCGCAAAACTCGCAGAGGCATCCGAGCGACGTTTCCGAACGCAGTCATAGTCAATTTTTGCGAGCTAGATCGAAGAAAAAATAGCTAGATCTAGCCAGAAAATAGCTAAGTTGGCAACACTGTCGCCATCATGGTTTTAAATTTTCTCTTCTTATATTCTATTCTTTTCATGCACTGAGGGCGCTTCAAGCTACATAACCTCTGTCGACTTATTTATCAATGTAGAAGTGAGGAAAGATAAAAATCATCTATAATTTTATTAAAAAGATTGGAAAAGTTATATAATCGACTGTGTTACAATACTAGAACAAATATCCAGGCATTTTATAACTCAAATCGAAGTTGACGGCACTTTCCCCTTAGCAATCGTGAGAACTACTCCAAAAAGAAAGAAGAAGATTTGTCAATTATTGTTGTTTTGTGTCTAATGTTGAATTAAAACGTTGAGGTAAACAGGCAAACGATAAAATTAACGTCAACACATAATGTCCATATTTGCGAGGCGAATACTTTCATCCATAGGTAACCTTTTCATTTTATCCTAAAAAATGCCACTATGTGTACTCGTACAACATTTAGCAGCAAAGTTTGTTTCCAGTTTCAAGAGAATGGCAATGTTTGCGACCTGTCATCTGTAACACACATCTTCGACAATGTCAACTGTCGACTCAGTCTCAACCGAATGTAGAATCTGGTAAATTTGTACACACAAGCGTATCTATGCATAAATTGAGCTTAAAAATATTTTATTCTTCATATTTCTAATTATTTACAATTTCCAGGAAATAAGAATAAAAAAATGATTAAGATCTAAAATAAGATTGGAAAAGTAATGACCTTATTTTTATTCTCAAATAGATGAATAAAAAGGAGAGAATAAAGAGAATAATAAAACAATTTTAAAAAATTAATTCTCTTTTTTAATATTTTTCCTTTTTATTCATATATTTGAAAATAAATAAAGTTATCACTTCCAATTTTATTTTAGCATACCTTTAACCATTTTTTATTCTTATTTGCATTTGCACCTTTCAAGTTCAATTTACCTGTTGTTTTCTAGAAAATAAATTTTATTGTTACATTTTTAATGAATTTTTGAATGAATAGTATTTTATGTAATGTTAATTAATAAAATTTAATGTTATATTTTATAATATAATATTTTTTATCACACACATAGATCTGTCCAATGTCCCAGAAAGTTCAGAGGTCACTTTGGATCCACTGACACACCCAGACTTCTTCCAAGTGCACAAACTATTCACCGTAAAAGATCTATACGACGCGAGAGTGCATTATGGCCATAAAGAGACTTCCCTCAACAAACATATGGAGACATTCATATTTGGCTCCAGACTGGGACACTTAATAATCGATTTAGATCAAACCGCTGAGTTGTTGAGAGAAGCGTTGAACTTCACCGCTCATATCGTCTTCCGGGGCGGCATAATTCTGTTTATCTCGCGCAATGCCCAGATCACGCATTTAGTGGATAAAACGGCCAAGGAATGTAAGGAGTTTTCACAGACAAGATTTTGGCGACAAGGATTGTTCCCGAATTCGAGGAATCAGTTCAAGGCGACGACGCGGTTGCCGGACCTGTGCATCTTTCTTGGTACTCTGGACACAGTCATGACTGAGCACACAGCAGTAAGACACGCGGCTAAGATGTGCATACCCAGTGTTGGCATAGTCGACACAAACTGCAATCCGAATCTTATAACGTATCCCGTGCCCGGAAACGACGATTCTCTATGCGCCATTCAACTTTATTGTTCGTTATTCAAAAAAGTTATCATGAGAGCGAAACGAGCGAGAGAACGGATGATACAATATGTGGAATCGACATAAATCTGATAAGTAATTCGTGGTAAAGCAAATGTATGTAGATGTACATGTAAAAAAATATAAAATATCAAAATACGTTCTTTTCTTTAATCAAAGAGCAGAGCTGTGAGTAATAACATGATTTAAAAATCAATACATCGCTCATTCGTTACGTCAGCGACATAATTAAAAAGCAAAGTTCCTAGAAAATGAGTTTGAATATATATTGAATTATTAACATTTTCTACTTTAATTTTGAAATGTAATTTTGATTCAATTACTGATTAGCAGGAGTAAAAATATGTTTTCTATTTTTTTAATATTTCTGTTCATTTTTGCAAACAACCAAGAAATTAAAACTTTTAATTAAGTAACAAATGAGCGACATTAGTTAACGGACATCAGTTAATCTTTTTACATCTGTTTTATTTTCTTATTTTGTTTAACATATACATCGTATAAAAATCTTCTTAATGCGTTTATGTGAAGAATATATTGACAAAATATGACAAAAATACAGTTGCTGTTGACATTAGAAAATTCAGTGATGATCATAATGATTAATCCTTTTGGGGGGCATTAGCATCTCGTAGTTTTAGTAAATATTTCATACCTAAAGTCTTTACACACCTTTACAAAAAAGATAAACCAATCAGATGTGATAATATTAAATTGAACAAAAGATTCGTTTCTCTTTTTCGGCGTTAATGACTGCGTTCAGCAGAAAACGCAGTTTTGCAACTATTATAAGATTCTTTAATATGATAGGTTTGTTCATTTAGATCTATGAGGAATTAAAAACAAGAATCAGTAAAATTAAAGAGTATTACAGTAGTTCGAAAATGATTGATTTTTCTGAACGCAGCTATTATTACTTATATAAAGTCCATTTTAGACATTCTGCAATTTTAAATAAAATTCAATTTCGTTTAAATGTGTAGTCTATATATATATTGTGATTCTTATAAATGTTTTCCATAAATTAACGAACTTTTTTATCTCGAAAGATTCTATCGTAAGGGATTGTCAGTTATAGATTCAGTTATAGATCTAAGATGAGTCTAAGAATTCTGTAGAAAAAGAGTAAACGAATTTTTTCTATTTATATCTACTTTTTATATATATATATATTATATAGAATAACTTTAATCTCAGTTTAATTTATTTTTTATTGTTTTCTAATACTTAGAATTAGAAAAAAATAAAAAGTAAGTTAAATCGAGATTAAAATTAATCTACATTGGTAGAAACTGATATTAATGTATATAGAACTACGACACGTACCATTTCGCAAAATTCGGAAAACAATAAGTCAGGTATGCGATTCGTAACGGAGCCTCTGTGGCAATCCATACTTCATCCAGTTTATTTGCAATCGCGACACCCATTAAAATTGCACAACGTTCCACGCTAACTTTGTTTTTAGATGTGTCCGTTGTTATACCGTAACTCTGAAAAATCAAAGCGCGATCAGCAATTAGCAATACATAATATATATTACTGTAATGTGATATATTTGTTTGATAATTGTTTAATATTATGTACACATATACAGGTGGTCTGGTAATAAAATGCTACTTCTCGTGGGCAAATAGAGTGGGTTAAACTGAATGAAAAAGTCTCTTATCGTTTTGCAAATTTTACCATCATTAATAATAAATTAATTAATAAAAATCTACAAACGAGTTTATATATATTATTATAACAAGATGTTTTAGAAAAAAGGGTATAAATGAAGTTATATTTTACACACTTTATATACCTTTTCGTATCACTATTATGCAGTTATGTAATATTTTCATGTCTCATGTCATAAATTTCCTACAAACATCCGGATACAGATAAACATTTTTATGATACGTACCTCGCCAAACTTCTCAGTGAAACTTTTGGCTAGAAAGTCGGTCTGTACCGGACCCGGGCAAACCATTGTCACGCTAATGTGCTTATCGAAATGTTCCAAGAACAACGGCCTGAAATAGCCCTATAAAAGTATATAATATAATGTCATTGATACGTGCGATAGTAAAATATTTTACAAAGTTGCGAATAATTTTATTCAACGAAAGAAGTAATATCTTGAAATTTACATGTAAAGCATGTTTAGTGCCGCAGTAGGTCGCCGACATCGGTACGGGTAAAATTCCCGCGAAACTCGAGGTATTGACGATTTGACCTTCGCCTACTTTCAGAAAATGTTTAACTGCTAATCTGCTCAAGGACATGATTGAGAATACATTCAAGTTGAACATTTCTTTATCAACCGCTATCTCGATGTTTTCCCATCTTGCTCTTTGACTACGGCCGGCATTGTTAACGAGTACGTCTAACTGAACATAGAAATACATTCTTGGTGAAATTTTTTCTCAGAATTTTTCTGAATTTCTGAAAAATTTTATATAAAGTTTCTCAGATTTTTCAATACAAATTGAAACACTTTCCAAGAATGTTCCAATTTGTATAATTGTCTTGAGCTCTCTAGTGGACAAATTTTGCTGAAAATTTCAAAAATACTGAAAAATTTCATTTTCATTTGATTAATTGAAAGAACTAGGAAAGAACATGGGCAATAGGAGTCAAACGTGAAAGACGTTACGTAAATAATACGACTATAAAGCGTAAAACTTCTTTATTTTTTAATAAACGCGCTTACATATTTCGGCTCATTTTTGAGCCTTCTTCAGAGACAACAAACCCTCACATATATAAAATGTAACAAAAATTAACTTGTCATGGTGAGCTCTCCCGCATCGAGAATATAATTGCCAAAATTGAACTCGGATAAAAATAAAAAAAAGAAAAAAGAAAAAAGTAGGAAAAGAATTTTGAAAATATCAAAAAGAGAAAATGGAAAACTAATGTATCAGAAAACTTTCAAATTAAAATTAATTATCCCGAAAATTAAGAAGCTCACCCTGATCACAAGGCAACATATCGCACAAACATTACTATTAATAATTCAAAAACCGGTTTCTGATATGTTGATCAGTCAGATTTAGTTAGTCTTTATTGCTTAGACTGTGTTTGACACTGACTGACCAACATATCAGAAACCGGTTTTTGAATTATTAATAGTAATGTTTGCGATATGGGGCCTTGTGATCAGGGTGAGCTTCCTAATTTTCGGGATAATTAATTTTATAAATTAAGAAGCGCCATAACGGTCAGAACGTTAAGATGTTGAACTATTGTAAATTCATTTAAATGAATTAATTTCAGAAATTATAATTGCGTGCCGATATGGTTGTCGGACTTTCAACGCAATCAAATCTGAAAATATTAATAATCCCCCCAAATTTCCCAACTTAAAAACTGTATTTTTATTTCTGAAATTAATTCATTTAAATGAATTTACAATAGTTCAACATCTTAACGTTTTGACCGTTATGGCGCTTCTTAATTTAAATTTAAAGCATTGTAGTTAACATTAGCGGTCTTTCAATCTTATTATAATTAATTTTAATTTTAAAGTTTTCTGATACATTAATTTTCCATTTTCTCTTTTTTTCAATGTATTATTTTTATATTTTTAAGATTTCTCATTTTATAATTTCTGATGAAATCTTATAAAATAAGAAATCTTATAATATTTCTGAGAAACGTTCCAGTTTGTATCAAAAAATTCTAAGAAAAATTTTTATCACAGAAGCAACAAGATTTTCGATTAAAACATATTAGTAATAAATAATAACGATAGCGATGAATATAACAGAGGCATGCAATAGGATTTTAATTAAAAGAGATTGATTTTTATTAATACAAAAAATATAGTATGATAAAATTGTTAAATCTACCTTGCCGAATTTATTGATCACATGCTCGAATGCTTTCTCGTGTGAATCCAAATCAAGCACATCCATAGGATGAACTTCTACATCATTGTCGGTTAAGTTTCTGTTCTCTGCAAAGGAATATTTATGAAAAGTCGATAACGATACTTTATAATCTTTAGCCCGACTTAAATTACTATGTCAATAATAGTGAGTTAACGACGTTAATTTAATGTAATTCTATTTAAAATTGTCGAAAGAGATCACATCAGTCAATTAAAACAATCGATGAAGATCATTAATGTAGCGTGGGAGAGATCTTTTACAGAAGTTTGCGAGGATGTCAACTGTATACTTTCCAAACACGTCTTCTTCACCCGTTCTAATTCAGCGGTTCTCCGAGCGGACAAGATTAATTTGCAGCCCGCTTTGGCTAACACATAAGCCAAATGTTCTCCGATACCGGCAGATGCACCTGTTATCCATACTGTCTTGCCTTTCAACGAAGCTGTGATAACAAAAAGTTATTCGTTTCCCAGTATCCGGAAAGGGAAAAATAATAGATTGAATAATAGATAGAAATTGAAATAGATTGAAATAGATTCGTTTAGTCATTGCTGAATCCAAATTCTTGATTTTTTTTAATCCATTTCAATCCAAATCAAATATAAACAATGTTTGAATCCATTTCAATCCATGACGTGGAATTGAAACTACGGGATTCCCATTCTTCTCAATCAAAAAAAAGTTTTACGGAAAAATATGCCACGTAATTCATTTTAATTCATGACATGGGATTGAATCTACAGGATCTGTATTCCTTTTAATCGAAAAAAAATTTTACGGAAAAAATAAACCATATGCAATTCATTTTAATCTATGACATAGGATTGAAATGACGTAATTCTTATTCTTTTAATCCAATGCAGGTCTGAGAGCTTTAAATCCATTTTTGTCCATAATACGAGATTGAAAGAAAGTGGATCTTATTCTTTTCAATCGAAAAAATATTTTTTAGGTTGTGTATCCGTTTTAATTCATGACACACAGGATTGAAACAAAGTTTGTCTTATTTCAACAAAGATAATTTCATGTTTTTGGAAATAAACCCTGGTGATGGGTTCTCAGCTATAATATTGATAAAATAATGCTCATTAGACACGTTTTTGTAGGAAATGAAAGAATCCGACACAAAAAGGCGTCACTTTATCCCGCGAAGCGAAAAATTATCTTAAGTTGAAGAATATTGAGATTAGGAAATCTGTCATATCAGGATATTCATAAAAGGAATACGATTTAACTATAAATGAACCATATATTTTAACAATATCTATTGAACAGATATATCGCAATTCCCAGCAAACGAGAAATTATTAAAAAATGTTGAAAATTATTCATTGAAGTGATGTCGAATCAAGTTTTTGAATTTTTTAAATCTGTTTTCTATCCGTAATTCGCTTGAATCAGTAATTGTGGATTAGTTATTTACTTTCTGTATCTCACCCAATGTGCATAGAAATGAAACATGCGATTAATTCGATTGAATCTGTAATTACGTATTGGTAATATACTTTTAACCAATTTTTAACGCAATGAACGCAACTAATTCGTTTGAATTTAACGTGCGGTATTGAAAAATTTGTCTGGGAGATCCACCAACTGCTAGTCACCGATCTCGGCAAGTGATATTGTCGAAAAGCACGCACTGTGCAGGTGATATAAATAAGTCGTTGCTTCCCAAACAAAAACCTCGGTGTGATATACAGAAAAAAAAATACAGAATGTGTAACATTGCGGATCCACAGCAACAAGGTAATTTCTAGACATGGCCACGACAGTGCAGGCTATATCCGGGAGTCACCCTGTTACCGTAAATCTGTAATGTTATATATTCTGTGTATAGTACTAGGGTTAATCGAGAGGAAACGATTCACATATCTGTGATCATCTTAGTGCATGCTTTCCAACGATAAATCACTTTCTAGGATCGCAGACTAGCATTTTATTTCTGAATCTATATGAATCCACTAGAGTTCACATTATTATATTTATCTAGACGTATAGAAGCGGATTCAGTGTATTCAGTCTCTACAAAATTCAATACCCTTTTAATGCGAATAACGCGGATTCGAAAACTTGATTCATACGGATTTATCCAATCCAATCCGTTTGCTGGGTTGTACATCCCTTCCCAGCAAATGAGAATGGATTGAAATGGATTGAAATGGATTCAGATTTTTAGAAATATGGATTCATGAATGTTAAAATGAATGCTTTTCAATCCTGAATGTATTTTTATTCATTTATAGGAATTACATGGAGCATATCTCTATGCCTTTCAATCTAAAATAATATCAGCTTTTTCTGTGCATTGTGAATACTGTTCAATTCAAAATTTTGAATAGGAAATACAGTTTTTCAATCCAATTACATCCAATTGAATCCAACTAAATTACCAAAACAGTATTCGCTATTTAAAATACGCATTCGGATAGAAAAAATTTCAATCCATTTTAATCTATTTTCATTTATTAGGATGTTTCATGTTTATTTAATTATTAACAAATTTTTATGCAAATTTTTATTTACTGGACTGAGGAAAATCTTTATAAATAGACAAATAGACTTTGCTTGTATTTATGCGATTGTTTTACTTGCGACTGACGAAAAGTTGGCTGAAGAAAATTCTTTGTTATTTTTTAGGATTGTGAAAAAGTACTCACACACGGGTTTGCCGTACTTCTCCTTAAAAGCGAGCAGTATATCGCAATCCAAGAAGGAGGGAAGAATGAGATAGATGGAATAGTAGACCACGATTCCAATAATTAATCCAACGAATAAATCCATACTTAATTACACTTGTCTACGATGACATGAAATTATTTCTGTAAACAAAAAGTTCACATCGTTATCAGCCTTTATACATTTGTGCTCTTGAATACATCTACATAATTTTGTTTTCTTATTTAATTGCGTTTCGATTTTATGAATTTTTACGCGTTACAATTCCTTTCATTATTTATAAAAAGAATTGGGATTTAATGGTTTGAAAATCTTTTGAATTGAATATTGGATAAGAGAGAGAGAAAAAATAATTCTTTTATTTTATTTTAAAATTATAGAATTCTGTGGTTTTTTAATTCATTTTTCCTTAATTTCATACTTGAACAATTATTTTTTAAACGAGTAGAAAAAAATAAATGACGTAAATAACATTTTTTATTTTCATTGAAATTAATGTAATTATACAATTTACATTACTATTCTAAGAAAAAGGCAACAAAATAACGAGATAGAAACATGTTAATTTCTGGCGAGAAGAAATCAAATATAGTATCAAATATGGACAACCTGGAATCATGATGTTGCAACTACTCACGAAGCATGGTCATCAATTACATCACAGATGCAAATTGAATCTTCGTGACATACTCAATTATAGGCAGTGCGATTATCGTAAGACTAGTTTTCATATAATTATAACCGATAATTAGGCTAATAGTAAGACGTTACGCTAGATTTAGAGTTTCTCAAATCCGAGTAATTGTAAAACAACTGCAGGTTGGAGAATTTCCTTTTTGGAAAAAAATAGGCTGCGTTTCGTTTCACGCATGATGTGCATAATGTATCATTTATCCTTGTTTAATATTTGGTGACTAACAAGGATCAGGGGCGGACCTTGGGGTAGGCGACCGCCCGGGGCGCCAGGACATGGGAGGCTCAGTGGGGAAAAAAATTACTATTAAAAAATTGATGCACAATTCCTATAACAGTTGCTAATGGGGAACGTAGCTTTAGTAAATTAAAGCTCATAGAAACATATTTGTAGTTTTCCATGAGTCAAGAACGGTTAAATTTATTGGCACTGTTGTCAATCGAGAATGCGTTGATAAGCGAAATGGATATTTTAGTGAAGTAGTGAAGGAGTTCGCTGACGTGAAAGCAAGAAAAAAGTTCATGTGAAAGTTGCCAAATTTGAGGAAAAGATAAAGTTTTTTATAAGATAACATTTTTTTAAATATGTATAAAACCGTTTACAAAAATACTATATAAAAAAATAATGAAAAAAATAAAAAAATTTTTTTAATGTAACACACAAATACAATAAAAATATAAAAAATAAAAAATTAAGAACGGGATCTTGTTTTGTCACGTCCTCGTCGTGATGCTGGGTAGTGCAGAGAGCAGACGCGATTAAGAAAGCTACAAGAAGGGGGGAGGGGCGACTTTTGGGTTCCTTTCTTAGAGCGCCATAATTCCTCGGTCCGGCCTTGAGACAAGATTCATCATGCGCATCATGCGTGAAACGGAACAAAGCCATAGAATGAGTTTCATTCAATCTGTAATTGAAAACAGAGAAGCAATAAACTTAATCTAAAGACTGATCTTTGTTCCTTGATAAGGAGGATTGTGACATAATTCTTTTATATGTTATCTAAATATTTTATACATTAATAAAAATAATATATAAAAAATAATTTAATTAATGGACTCCTTATATTTGATATGACATTAATTCGTAATAATGAGGCGATATTGGAGTCGTTGCTGGAAATATTTACGCAAAATGTAGAGTATTAACATTTACTACATCAAAACGAAATTACATTAAAAAATCTGAACTTTTCGGTTCATATTTGGGCCAT